TATCTAAAATTGGACCAGTGGTGCAACAACATTTCATTTTAGACCAAAACTACAGAATTTTGCCAACCACAGGGACCATTTTTGCAATTTTGTCATACCAAAATACCAATTTTTTTTAATTATTAAATTATTATTATATATAATTAAAAGCAATTGAGCTTATGAATAGTAAAGTTTATTGGTTTTAGAAGATAGTGCACAATCTAGCAAAAACCATAGAATTGAACAAAATTAGGGTGTGTTACACACCCACCATCGAGAGAGTGCACAATCGTGTCATTGACGTTGCAAAACTTGGTTATAACAACTTCTAGTTGAACTTTCTGATTATTATTTGATGTGGATCGAATTTGTCAATTGTTGATTTGATGTTGGCTAGTTTCATACTTGCTGGAGTGCTGGAGAACAGACGTCTCGTTTCTTTGATCATGCTCTTCTTCTTTTAATCGAGTATTGCAAATTCCACACTGTAACGCGATAGATACCAATCTCACAAATAGAAAAAAAAAACTTATCAACCAAAATTTTTGCAATTCATTTCGTGGTGGAGCTTGGGTGGTATTCTATAACAAATCAAGCCAATTTTCGGAATTAGAGATTTTTGATTTTTCTGAATATATGATTTCATTTAATGGAAGAAATTCTAATTCTTCAATTCCTTCAAAGGCAGAACATCCAAAGTTTAAAGGAGAAGAATTCTTAAATTGTGGATTCATTGGTGAAGATGATGTCAACAAGAAGAAAAGAACACTTAGAAGAAGATATATTCTATAAATTTTGAAGAGAAACAAGGCTTGAGAGAGACAGAGAATGAAGAATAAGCATATGTTGATCGGATCTCATAAGCCTGACTTTTCACTAACGGATGACTTTTCACTGACGGATCACATCGGTCCATATTAGCCGTTGATCCTTAGTATTGAATGGATTCCCAACGCTGCTCATGGCGATTAACAAAACCAATTGTCAGCGTGGCTCATAGCGATTAACAAAACATATTGCCACGATATCTTCTTCTATTCATTCGTCTATTTCGGCGCTCATAGTCAGGTATTTGCGTCCATTGAGGATAAGCTAATATAGGGTACTTTGCTAATGAGGATTCTCTGTGTTATGATATTTCAACCAAAGATGGCATTCTTGTTTATCGTATTATGCCAAAGATGATGGTCCTACTCCTCTCGTGTTCTCACTTAATCGTCTGGATGCTTCCAAAATTATAACGACCCAGTCGAATCAGTCTAGGTTCGGGTCAGAGCAGGATGGTGTGTTCGGCCTTACTAGTGTCGCTCCAGACTTAGGTTTGGTGAAATGTGTTTTTCCAGGGAAGGATATAAGTTTGGGTTAGGGCACCAGTTCCGAGAGTGTAATTATAGTTATGTCCTCTTTTGTTGACTTTAGCAAAGTTACCTCTCTATTTGCTCCTTCTAAAGTTGATGTAGCGGCATGTATATATGCATATTTTTTTTTTGTATTTACCTTGGAGTTTTAATGTATGATTTCTGTTAATTTTGCAGATCCTTTTCTACCAAATAGCCTTGCTTTGCCTTTGATGTTGACTTTAATAATGGCTTCAAATAATTTGTTCATGTAGCCTTTGTTGACCTCTGAAGGTCAGGCTTTTCGTGATGCAATTGTCAACTTGCGTACTATCCTTCAATGGGAAATTTGAAGAATCTCACGAATTTTGAGGGTTTGAGCTATATGTGCACAACCTTCCCAGAGGGGATAAATTGTGTAGATGAAATGACCTCTCGCCTTATGTGTAGGCACGTATATATTCAAGCTAAAGAGCGAGAATTTGGAAAACTGCTAACATTTTGGAGAAGTCACAAGCGGATAACGAGTTGGCTGCTACTAATAGTCTGCTATCTATTTGCGTTGAGGAATTGGTTAAGCAAGAGAAGGATTTGGAAATTCTTCTGCTCATGATACGACAAAGCAACATCTTTTGATGGCACGGGAATTAGATGACTTAAAGGCTTCTTTTTTGAAAAAAAATGGCATAATTAGAGCTTTCTGCTCTTAGAAGCACGTGAAAGTGAAGGTATTGGAAGGTAAAGTTTGCTATTTATAGGAATCTACGACAAATATGATTGTTCAATTTGATAGAGTGTCTAAGAAACTAACCTAATCCCTTGAGGATTCTTCAAATTTGCGTGTATCCGTGGGAAAGAAAGGTTGTGTGAGGTGAAGTGGTTATTGGAAGAGGGTATTCCTTCCTGCTTCAAGATAGTGCTAAGGTCAAAAGAGTTTAGAGAAGTAAATTCTCTTAGTGCAAAAGGATTGTATTAAGTATGGTTTGCACCTTGGTTATTTGGAAATGAAGTACTATGATGTTTTGCCATTTTGCCAGATGTATCTTTACATTTGTTTTTCCGCATGCTCAATAGAATGTTATGGGTGAGTTTTCACTCTTGGTGGATCATTATTTCCCTTTATCTCGTTCTTTGAAGTCTGGAGAGCTCCGAGTTGACTCTCTTAAGGAGTTGGTGAAAGAAGGGGAAGATGTTGGCAGGGGTGATGATAAATAGTTGATCAAGACCCGATGGGGTTACCTTTCCATAATTCTTTTGCTTGGTTGCTTGCTTTTACGTTTGTTTTTATTTATTGCTTTATCGTGTGATATGTTTAGGGATATCTTCCCATATCATTTTCTTTAAGCCATAATCCTTATAACTCTTTTGCTTTTACTGTTACTAGTATGTATGGAAACATATTTTAGTAATATGAATTATCGGATGATTTTTGCTTTGAAGATAATCGTTTGCTTTCTGCCATGTGTTTTGTTATATAGAAAGTATATTTAAGAAATATTATGAGTGTTTTTGTTGATATTCCTTTCTTTAAAGATTGTTTTTGAAGTGTAATGCATTTGATTATTTTGCTTGTGGCTTTTTATGTCGTTTATTTGAATGAATCATGATTTTAATCTAGTGACTTGTCATTTGGTATGTTCTTTCAATCGGTTCTTCTTTATCCTTATCGATCCCAATTCTTGTTATTCATGATAGGAGATGTCGAGGATGGACCGGTCTTGCTTGGTCCGGCTTGATTGGCATACTCCCATCCGGTTTGGTTATAATTAACATGCTCCAATCCGGTCCGGCGTTTAGACGAAATTGTGGTATACAATGGAGCTTTAAATTCAATCTAGCAACTATTCTCTCAAACCTTGTGGTACCATGTATATTACCTCAACTTACTTACTCTATGAAACAAACAACAAAACACAAATTGGTTAATTAATAATGAAGAAGTGAAGTGGTTTTTCATGTTGTTTATTTGAACGAAATCATGATTTTAATCTATTGACTTGTCATTTGGTACGTTCTTCCAATTAATTCTTATTTATCCTTATTGATCCCTTTTTTTTAGTCAGGATAGGAGATGTCGAGGATGGACCGATCTTGCTTGGTTCGGCTTGATTGGCATATTCCCATCCGGTTGGTTTATAATTGTTGGAAATGGGTGTCCAATTATTGGGTTTTCTATAAAACAATACACTCTAACTAGGTAGCAGAAGCAATTAAAAATTTACTTAAGTGTACATGCACCCTAGGATCCAGGTTTTACTAATTATATCAACCTATTTTAAAATTGTAAATCTACTAAAGACAAAGCTAGTAACCTCTTGTGTGGCTCGACCTTGATCTTCTTGAACTTTCTAGAAGACTTCTAGAACTTCTTGATACAACATGTCATTTGGATGATACAACATGTCATTTGGATGATAGGACCCAAAGTAGAATCCCTCTAATAGAATGACACCTAATGACTCTAAAGAGAGAACCAAAAGAAAAATAGGAGAAGAGATTAATCTCACCAAACCCTAAGAGGGTTTGGAATAGAAGGAAAATTGGTGAAACTTTCAACCCAAGGTGCAAGGAATTATGAGATCCCTAGAGCCCTATTTATAGTCCAGGGTCATCTCCTTAGATTTGACTCCCATCCCCATGTGGGATGGAGAACAAATTCAAAATTTGCCTCCATCTCATGTGGGATGGAGAACAAATTCAAAATTTGCCTCCATCTCATGTGGGATGGAGTGATTTTTCGTCCAGCCTTATTTCCTTAAAAGTTCTGGAATATTCCACTCAACCAACTATTGATTAATTAATATTCCACCATTTTAATAATTTAAAACTATCTAATTAATTCTCAATCAATTCTTAAATAGTTTATGATTAATTTATTAAACATAATAAATTAATAAACTTATTTTCTCTTTATGTAAATTTCTTTTAATTCCCCATTTGTGTCTTGACAGCAACCTGAAAATGACTATATTATTATTTAGAAAATATCAATAATTAATGACATTTGACACTATTCTCAACACCAAGTTCATAACTACTTGATATAACTATGAGAGTAATAACAAAACTCTATTTTACAATTTCACAGTTATTCCCTTATATGTCACCACCATAGTACAATTTCACAGTTATTCCCTCATATGTCACCACCAATTAAGATACATATCAAACAAATCAAAATCAAAAGAATTGAACATCCAAATAAAATAAAACAAAATCAAAGCCTTCATCTTCAAAATAATTCTTCAATTCAACATAATGATCAAATTGTACCTCTATCTTACACTCTTCGATCAAAGAAAAATTAACTTAGATCTCAAACACTGATGATACGTCCGCACGAAGTTAGGATGTTCGGAATGGGACTTGGACAACAAAAAGAGATTGCAGTGATCTGGCCAAGATTACGCTCCGACATTCAAGTTAATAAATGTGTTCATTTCTGATTAAGATCATGTCTGATAAACTAGCTGGAAAACTAACTTTTAGCTTATACGCTAGCTTATCGATAAGTTCTTTCAAGTTAGCTTATCAATAAGTTACTTTAAAAACGACGATAAGCTACTTTAATGGTTTTATCAAACGCCAAATTACAATAAACTAATTTATTTTTGCAAAACAAGGTCCTAACTCATACGATGGGGGGCACAACCACAGTTAGTAAAAGACAAGGAGAATGTAGCCTTAAATGAATGATGGAATATATAGACAAACAAGACAAATAGGTTGAATGATATTTCAACAAGTTTTGGATCAATTTCATTTCAATGGAACAACTGAGAAAAGTATCCCTTTTTACTCAATATGTAGGGATCCATTTCAGTTTCTTAAGATATGTGCAAACTATGACGATGATGAAGCTGGCATCTTGTAAACAGACTGAACTTTTGACTCCAACAAAGAAACATATTTATCAAGCATGGATATTACTACTTCTAGATCAGTCACTTGCTGTTCTATAGCATCAATTTGCTGAACATACTCATCAAAATTCTCACTTTTTGCCTTCAATCGATCAACAAAAACCCTCAATCCAGAGGCAACATCACCAAATCCTTCATATTCTTCTGCTACTTTCAGATTCATAGTTTCCAACAGCTTGAGCACATTGTTTGTACCCTAGAGAAACACATTTCAGAAATCAACATCACAAGTTCTAAAAACATGAAGGAAAATGTAGAGGAAACCTGAAGATCGCCTTTAATCATAGTGGAAACATTAGTAAATAGATCGTTGAGAGCTTCAGTGAGTTCATCGTATTCCTGTGTTACCATATTTTCAGCCATGGCGACAAAATTCTGCACCTGAAGTGGAACAATAAATTAAATTATTAGACTAATAGACGATGAATCTATCCATAAGAAAAAGTGTAATAAATCATCTGTTAATAATCAAATTTTGCAATGTTCCTAATCGATAGAACTTAGAAGAAGTAATCGCTGTATGAGTTTCAGTAATCCCTAATAAACGAATTGAATTATTAAACTAATGGCAGATGAATCATCTATTGATAACTCGAAGGCAAACGTAAATATTTACCAGTAGAACAAGACGTCGGAGCTGCAGATAATGGCGGAGACACTCGTCGGCGGTGGCGAGAAGACATAGATCCGACTACACGAGAGCCAAGGTCTAGATTAGATGGCTTTTAGATTTAGGGTAAACTACAAATATAGTCCCTGGATTTATCTTCAAACATATAGTTTTGGTCCTTCGGGATTACTGTTTGGCTTATTACTCCAAAATTGACCATGGTGTGTCATTTTGGTCTCAATCCTGTTAACATTAACGGGTATTATGTGGACATTATCATGTGAAGAATGACTGGGTTCAATTGAATATCTATTTGTCCATTATAATCCTTATAGTCACAACCATAAAAATAGGCACAACGATGGTTAGCGAAAGGAGCGTTTGTGGTACGATGTATGTATTGCTTAGAGTTAAAATTATAAACTGTATATCATAATATTATTTGACAAAATTATAAACTGCACTGCGTAAGTTTAAATTATGTGATAAAGTGTGGTTTGTTTTGGTGTGATTCAATGCATTTTATATACTTTTAAAATAAAAAGGATATATATATATATATATATATATATATATATATATATATATATATATATATATAAAATCCACAAATTCATAAATTCAACCATTTATGGTGGATATTGTTTGATGTTTAAACAAAAGACTATTACATTAAAATTAATATATTTTGAAATTCAAACATAAAACAAATATGTTAATATTGTATCATACAAAACAAAAGATGTGAAGATGACTTACATTAAGCTTCACTTTCCAAAGATTTTTAAAGGGTGATATGTACCGAAGATTTTGTTGGGGTATTATGTTACCTAGTAAAGAATCTGCGGCTATGCCGCTTTTGGGGTAATATGGAAAAAATCGGCAAACTTTAAAAGATATGTGCTGAAATTGTAAATCACCATAAATAGGGAAGAAAGTCGACAACTCCTAAAATTAGATGTCAAAAGTGTACAACGAAAAAAAGGGACACTGGTGGAGAAAATCCAAAATGTTGTGGCAATAATATTAAAGTTGTTAACGTTGCGAAAATATGTTGGCAAAATTTTAAAGGAGGTTTTTTTGTGTTTTTTATGTCAAAATGTAAAACTTTTGACTACAACGACAAAAAGTGTCAAATTCATTAAAGAATTGTGGCAAAAACACCAAAATGTAATACCTTTGAATATAAGGACTAAAAGTGTCAAAGTCATTAAAGATTTGTGGCAAAAACCTTAAGGCACAAAAACTTAATCAAAAGGCAAAAAATGTACAAATTTTGACTTTAGGGACTAAAAGTGTCAAGTTCAGCAAACTTATGTGGCAAAATCCTAACGCCTTGTTCCCGAGTTCTACTTAAGGAGGGAAATGGTAGGATACGGAGGGAAAGTGAGGGGTGTCGAAGGAAAATCGTGTTCCCGAGTTTCATTAATGGAAGGAAAGTGAGGGGAGGGGAAGGATTTTGGAGTCATATTTTCCTTCCAAATTTTCCTCCCAAATTGGGCGGATTTGGGAAGAAAGTGAGGGGAAGGAAAATTTCATGTTTTATTTTCTTTTTCCTCCTAACTCGGGAACACAAAAACTTAAAATTTTCCTATCATTTCTTTTCATTTGCTTCGAACTCGGGAACACGGTATAACGAATATTTTCCTTCCCCTCCCTTTCTTTCGGTCAAAATTTTCCTTCCCTTTCCTTTAATGAATTTACAAAAGAACTGGGGAACAAGGCGTAAACGCTAAAAGAATACTATTCCTAAGCTCCTTTGGATTTAATATATATATATATATATATATATATATATATATATATATATATATATATATATATATATATATAATCACATATGTCGCCGACTTAATTGCTTCGGCCTAAAAATAACTTGGAACATTTTTGTCACAAATCATGCTTTCATAAATCTCTCGATCGAAGATTGCTTTACTAGCTATTAAAACGCTATTGCATGCATTTAAAAAAAATTATTATCAATGTTTGGTTGCACTAATGGGTAGCACAGGGAAACATTGTCAAATCTTTAGGGACACAACCTAATCGTCAATGTCTATTTGCGTAAGACACTCACTAGTCATAAAACATAAAATATAAAAAATGGGGGTTTTGTTGTATAATTAAACTCAAAATAGCAGTGAAAATAACTAAATAAAATTCAATAATAAAAAACGAATTCGGTTCTGCTATGATTTTCCTAATCGTGCAATCAACCCAAACCTGGTTCTTTAAGTTATGTTCTATCTAAGCTGGTACTGAAAACTACTAACAAGCTCTAGAAGTTCTCTTTTACCTAATTAATTAATCAAAACAAGTTCTTAAGTTAATCCTAAGTTTTTACTAACCTAATTAAACAAACTCTTAATCAAGTTAAAAAAATAACATTATCATCTGTGTGAAATTCTCAGCAATATTCAATATTTCTTACAAGCTCGGAAAACGTAAAAATATGAAATTTCAGTTTATATCATAATTAAATCCCAACACAAAACCAATCTAACACTTATTACTTATTACCAGTTTATCAAAACAATTATGGATTTCAACAACTGATTAACTAAATTGAATTAATCATAAATTAAGTGATCGATCTAAAAAGAATCAAAAATCAAACATTCATTAAGTACAAAACTGAAATAACTAGACAGAATCACACAATAAAAACCAAGTCTAATGATTGAATACATAAAAAGTACTAATCTTTGCATAACTAAAATCTAGGGTTCTAGTCTGACATGGTTAAAATCTGATGAAAACTGATAAAAAGAGAAATCAAACGATAATCTTACTAAACTAATTGAAAGAGAAGATCTACAGTCTTTAGATATTTAGAAATTGATGGAAACAGAGAAAAATCTCCAAAAATCATCTGAAAAAGGGTTTCTTTCCGTCTCTGGCCGTCTGGGAACGTCTAGGGTTCAACATAGACAACATCTAGTATTTATATAGCAGACTTGACAACAAATAAGGGTTCTGGTAATAAGCACGACCCGTGCTTGGGGAGCAAGGCCCATGCTAAGTCATCGCAAATTGAGAACCCGAAAAAAAATTAAAAAATTGGACTTCGATGGGGAAGCACAGACCGTGCTTGGGAAGCATTGCCCGTGCTTGGGCTTTGCAGATTAAATTATCCAAGATAATGCACTAATTGGGATCAGGAGGCAGGCACGACCCGTGCTTGAGAACCGAAGTTTTAAAAGGCCTAAAAAATCATAAATCTTTCGGTTAAGTTTTGTAAGTAAAGAACGACCCGTGTTTGGTGAGACATACCCTGTATTTGGTCTTATTTAGCGTTTTGGCTCCAGATATGCTTCAATCATGCTTCATATATGCTTTAAAGACTTTCAAATTACCACTCCACTTCAAATTACCTGAAATAGACACCAAAACATGAGCAGTACGAGATTCTTACGAAATAATTGAGCTGAACATTATTTTAACTAATTCACATTAAAAAAAATAAAATATGATGCAAAATTCTAATAAAAACTAATATAAAATATGCATAAAATGACATCTATTAATAGCCCAATGTAATGTAAGTCAAGGTTAGATGTTTTAAGATAATTTAGTTATAAATGATTCATTTTATTAAATAATTAAATCCTCGGATAGCAGAGGTGATTGTAGTAATACATATTAGGTGTTGTCGGGGTTGAAGTATGTGTTGTCGGTGCAGGAAAAATAGGTAAAAGAAAATTTGAACAATTTTCCACTGCGTATAGGAAAAGTAGGTGTTGTTGATGCCATATCGGGACACCAAGCAAAACCACCACTGTCGAATAGGATAATCATAGATGAGCAATAATACTTTGTACGCGATTCGAGTTATATAAATGATATTATATATTGCGTATATATTTTATGGGCAAATATTATGGGCTTATAATATTTGTATAGAACATTATTATGAATTTAAAAAATTATGATAAATAAGCGTAAAAAAAAATTATTTAGGATAAATAGTCTTGATGAAAGTTGTAGTAGTCGTGATGACGATTTCGTGAGTATAAAGAACATCCAAATCTAACTTTGTATAAGAAAGTTATGATTTTTCTAAGTTTTGCGTTCAGCCGGACACCACTATGTGTGTCATACAAAGTGAAATGAAGATCGATTGTTTTTTAGCCAAAGCAACGTAAAGAAGAATCGAAGTACTTGTAAATACGAATCCGCAGATATAGAAAACATCGAAAGGAAAATAGAATGTGAATTAGCCGACGATGTCTAAAGGAAACTTCTAATACTTGTCTATACGAAACCATGTATATTTTATGACATTAGCTATCTATTAATAAAATTAGGTAGGTCGTAAAATAATATCTACTATATATATATGATAAGATTTTATTATAAAGGGTATGTTGATTTTATTATAAAATAGTTAAGGGACCATTAGTCTAATATGAATGGTATATTGTGTTGAGAAAGAAGGAGACGGGGACCATAATTGTAACTATAATTTAAATGAAATGGATAAGAATGCGAATCCGTAATATTTCAATTAATATAACCATTAATTTAGATGTACAACTTCATTTAATAAAGAGGTATGCGTGTTAGTTTTACAAGATGACTAAGCCTTTAAAATAGTACGACCACATTGAATATGTGGTTCAAAACTTGAGTATAAATAGAAGCGTTTTGATGATTTTCAATCATAAATTTTATAAACTTTAGAGTTATTTGATAAGTTGGAAAGCACTGCTAAGCTTGAAGCCACAACAATAGTTAGTCTCCACTAACTAGCCAAGTGGGTGCATAGTTACTTTCATGAACATGATTTTAATACAAATATTTATTAAATGTAATAAATATCTGTCGAAAGTTGATATATGAATTATATGTTTATTTGTAACGCTCGCAGATTCAGGCTAGTCAATTAAGATATTATAAGCGTTAAAAATGATTTTTAGTAGAAGATTATTTAGGATAAATAATCTTACCAAAGTTATAGTATTCGTTACAAGGATTTCGTACATAAGATAACGGACAAATCTGACTTCATAATAGGAAGTCATATTTCAGCGTAGCAGTATACGACTCGGAAACCAAAATTGAAATTGGTCGATTGTTGGGAAAAACAATCTAAGTGAGGGTTGAAGATCTCGTCAACATCTTGTTGGTGATTTGTTTCACTAATTGTATTTAAGTGTAATGGGTTGACTTGTTACCAAAATCAATCTTGATGAATATTAAACAAGTAAGGAAGGTGTG